AACTTTTCATTTTATGCATGAATGAACTGAGGGCATTCTGGCTAAGTTTGCAGATGATACAGAGATAGGTAGAGGGACAGGTAGTATTGAAGATGCGGGGAGGCTGCAGAAGGATTTGGATAGGTTAGGAGAGTGGGCAATGAAGTGGCAGATGGAATACAACGTGGGAAAGTATGAGGTCATGCACTTTGGTAAGAATAGAAGCATGGACTATTTTCCAAATGGGGAGAAAATTCAGAAGACTGAAGTGCAAAGAGACTTGGGCGTTCTAGTCCAGGATTCTCTCAAGGTAAACTTGCAGGTTGAGTCAGTAGTTAGGAAGGCAAATGCAACTTTAGCATTTATTTTGAAAGGACTTGAATATAAAAGCAGGGATATACTTCTGAGGCTCTATAGGCTCTGGTCAGGCCACATTTGGAGTATTGTTTGCAGTTTTGGGCCCCATATTTCAGGAAAGATGGACTGGCCCTGGAGCGGGTTCAGAGGAGGTTCACGAGAATGGTGCCAGGAATGAGCAGCTTAACATATGAGGAGCGTTTGAGGACTCTGAGTCTACACTCAATGGAGTTTAGAAGGATGAGGGTGGATCTAATTGGAATTTACAAAATACTGAATGGCCTGGACAGAGTGGATGTTGGGAAGATGGTTCCATTGGTAGGAGAGGGCACACCCTTGGAGTAAAAGGAAGACATTTTAGAACAGAGATAAGGAGACACTTCTTCAGCCAGAGTGGAGTAATTCACTGCCACAGAAGGCTATGGAGGCCAGGTCATTGAGTGTATTTAAGACGGAGATAGATAGGTTCTTGTTTCTCAAGGGGATCAAGAGTTATGGGGGAAAAGCAGGAGAATGGGGTTGAGAAACTTATCAAACATGATTGAATGGCAGAGCAGACTCAATGGGCTGAATGGCCTAATTTCTGCTCCTATGTCTTATGGTCTTATGGTCTTATGCTTCAGGCTATCATCCCAATGCTTCTGGTCTGGGACTAGCACTAAATCTAGTTTACTCTATCATTTCCTTCGAAGAAGTACTGGTCTATATTGCCATCTTTATCCAAGGACTTCATAGGATTGCTCAAATTCAAAGTAACACTAAAAAGAAATTGACTCTCAGCTGTGTGTGTTTCTTTTAAGCTTAAAAACATCTCTTTGGACCTTCTAAACTGAAGCTTGCTTAGCTTGTTCAGATATAAAGCTCTACCAAAGTAGACAAAAATCTGTTACTTCTAAAGCCATGCCTCAAACATGGCTTTTAAAAAATCACCACGACTATAGAAACACTTATAAGCTAATTAGTATCTACAGACACACAGAAAAAAAAACAGCCCTCTTACTAACCCAGAATCCAAAACCCTGAACTTGCAATAAATGATTTTGTGATATATAAATCACACATCATTGAATCCAGACTTCATAAAGTCTCGTGACATCAGGTTAGACATGACAAAGGAAACCTACTTCTGATTACCACATATAGAAGCCATCCCCTCCTCCCTTTGGCTGTTGAATCAGTCCTCCTCCATATTTAACACCACTGAGAGGAAGCGCTGTGGATGGCAAGGGCACAGAATGTACTCGGGGTTGAGGGCTTCAACATCCAACACCAAGAGTGACTCAGCAATACCACCACTGACCAAGTTGGTAAAGTCATAAAGGACATAGCTGTTAAACTGTGTCTACAACAGGTGGGGAGGAATGAATAAGAGGGAGAAACATATTTAATTTCACCCTCAGTACTGTCATCTGCAGAGGCATCTGTTCATTACAGTATCGATAAGAGTGACCACTGCAGAGTCTTTTGGAGACATATGTCCTATTTTCAATTTGAGAATACCTTATATTGTGTTGTGTAGCACTATCACCATACTAAGTGGGATACACTAAGAACAGATCAAACAACTCAACACTAGACATACATGAGGCACTGTGGCCATCAGCAGAAACAGAATTATACTCCAACTCAATCTGCAACCTCATAGCCTGACATATCCCCCACTCTTCCAATGTCATCAAACCTCTTTTACTGAAGGGGAGTGCCAGGAACCGCACCATTCAAACCTAAAAATTAGGTGTCAGCAAAAGAGAACTACTTGTATGCCAACAGTGTGTGCAGCAGATGATAAACAGAGCCAACCAATTTAACAGCGAACAGATCAGATCAAAGCTCAGCAGTCCTGTAACAGCCATGCTTGAATGGTGGTGGACAAATAAGCAATTCATTAAGGGAGGAGGCCCCATAAATCTCTCATCTTCAATGATGGGGAAGCCCATTAGTGTAAAAGTTAAGTCTAAAGCATTTGCAACCATCTTCAATGAAATATGCCAAGTAGATGTTCCATCTCGGCCTTCTCCAGAGGTCTCCAAGATTACATATGCCCGTCTTCAGCCAATTAGATTCATTCCATGTGATATCAAGAAATGGCTAAAGGCATTGGATACTGCAAAGCCTATGAACCTTGACAACATTCCAGCAGTAGTACTGAAATAATGTGCTCCAGAACATGTTGCACCATTAGCTGAGCGGTCCCAGTATAGTTACAACACTGGCAACTACCCAACAATGTGAAAAATTGCATAGGTATGCCCTGTCCATAACAAATCCAACCCAACTAATTACCACCCTCATCAGTCTACTCTCAATTATCAGTAAAGTGATGGAATATGTCATCAACAGTGCTACCAAGCAGCAGTTGTTCAGATTGGGTTCCACCAGGGCCAGTCAGCTCCTGACCTCATTACAGCCTTAGTTTAAACAAGGACTAAAAAACTGAGTTCCACAGGTAAAGTGAGAGTGACTACCCTTGACAGCAAGATCACATTTGACTAAATGTAGCATCAAGATGCACTAGCAAATTAGTGTTTAAGGGAATCAGAGGGAGAACACTCTATGAATAGAGCCATACTTGACAAGATGTTAGTGGAGGTCAGTCAGCTCCGTCACAGGACGTCTCTGCAGGAATTCCTCAGGGTTGTGTCCTGGGCTCAATCATCTTCAGCTGCCTCATCAATAACCTTCCCTCCAACATAATGGCTGGTAGCATTGACCTTGTGATTTTGAGATTCTTGACTTTGCAGATTAATTAGAATTATTTTATTCAATTTCTTTCAGCAGTGGCTGTTGGCTAATTGGCTTTGAGCACTCAGAGCAAGGATTCTTCTGTAATCCTGTTTTCTTTTGATTGGCTTGCTGGCTTGTCACCTTTCAGCACTTACAGTGAGAGCGTTATTCTTTCTTTTCATTACCTGTGTTGCAGGGACTTTTAATAGCAACTCTGAATTTTACAGTACACCAGTCAACTAAGATGACTAAAACACATTCTAGTGTTGCCGTAGTTTTTAATCCCTTTTTCTGTATATTCCTGGAAGGCCAAAACACTAACATTCTGCAAGAGGTGGTATTCTATAGACAGAGGGAGATAGTGAGCCCCCTCATTATGTCCTCCTTTTGCATTTCTCTGCCATGTTGAACGTTTCTGCTGACACTCTACAGGTGTGACATTCCATAGATCTCACACACAACTTCAGACATCAACAGAATTTACATCTCCATCAACTTTTTGACTGAAGCAGATTTCTTTTTTTTTAATGGAGTTAAATGTTTACACTGTTTGTAGTATTTTGGGGGTTCTACTCCATCATCATGACACCATCATAGGGGAATCAGGAAAGGTGACCTAAAATTTAACCAAGGGAAAGAAAAGGTTTTAGGACTATCCTAAAAGAGAAGTGAGAGAAGTGGAGTCACTGAGATTTTTAGGGAAAGAACTGAGATCTTAGAGCTAAAGCAGCAGAAACCAGGACTGCCAGGTGTGGAGGAATTAAAATCAAGAATGCAAAGGAGACCAAATTGGAGACATGCAAATATCTTGATTGCTTGTGGGGTTGGAGGTGACCAAAAACTGAGGAAAGATCCCATGGATGAATTTGAAAACAATCATTTGCTAGATGGGGATCCAGTGAAGGTCAGTGAGCATGGTCAAATGTTATTAAGGGTAAGTTAGAATGCAGGCAGCAGTTTTAATGTATTCCATGAGAGTGACAATCTACCTATATCAGTGTGAGCACAGGTTTATTTAAGGTGCAATGTAGAAGGCCAGTCACTGTTCCACTGGAATAATCAACTCTCAAGATAACAAAAACATGGATGAAATTTCAGTCACAGCGAGCTGAGAAAAGATCAATTGCACGAAATGTTACAGAAGTGGAAGCAGGTTGCTCAGTGATGGAGCGGTATGTACTTGAAAACTCAAACTGAGGCCAATGACACACAAAGTTTGGTAGTGGCCTCACTCAATTGATAACAGTTACCAAGGATGGGAACTATGCTCAGGAAAGAATTTACCATGTGTGCCAAAGGCAATGGCTCCAACTTTCCTGATATCTAGTTGGAGGAAATTTCTGTTCATCCAATATTGGATGTTAGACAAGCACTGTGACAAATCAGAGTTGGGATGCTGCTGGTAAGACAGAGCTGAGTGTTTTCAGTGAATCTGGTGTTATCTTTTCTGATCATAACAGCTAGACTATCTTGGCATGTTTCAGAGCCTCCCTTTAGTTTCTGCAATCTTCAATTGTGTAGCAGCTTCTTTGAGGGCGAAGGAAGGAAAGCAATAGTTGCCAATGTAATATGCAGAAAGCACAAGATATCACCTTGACAAAGGTCAGTGCGAGCAGTGGCCACCTAAAAACTCCGCACCTTCAAAAGACTGGTCGTGCTGTTTGGACGCTGAATTATGTTTAGGTAGCTGGTACTCAGTTTAACATCAACAAGCTGCTTTGAGAATAAACAATGGCTTTGGTGTCAATGTGAAGGCTACGTAAATAATGCTCATCACTTTGTACCCCTCACAATATCTACGGTGTACACGCCACCGCTTTGCATTAGGAAACTAACGGAAACTCGAAGCGGAAACGATGCATATCCGCCACAACAGAACTGAACACTAGCCTCAAAGGGTCTGTGGAACAAATATACAGATATGGAAGACACCGTGAAAGAAGGTCTGCTTTGTATGCAGCAGCATTGGTTCAGGAAGGTATCGTAATTTGTTTCCAGACAAGAGAATAATATCCAACACTTTTCTTCCCCTCTAGGATATCGACAAACGAGACTTTGATCATGTACTTTTAAACCAAGCTCACATATCGGGGATTATATTTAATGAGTCGTTCGTTGTATATAATTTCCTAACAAGACGGACACTACTAGGAATGCATGTTTGGTTTTAAAGGCATTTGTGGTGTTATTTCATTTTGATTCATGTGTTTACTACTAACAACGTACACACTGATCTTTTTTAACAACACTTTTGTAAAATCAGCGCCGTGCTTTGAACAGCTGTAAATCTATTTGCTAAATAAAAACCGAAAGAACTGCGGATGCTGTAAATCAGAAACAAAAACAGAAAATGCTGGAAAAGCTCAACAGGTCTGGCAGCATTTGTGGATAGAAATCAGGGTTAACTTTTCGGGTCGAGTGACCCATTCTCAGAGCTCATGCTCAGAAGTAAATCTATTTGTGTTGTTTGTAACTGAGTTGTAGACAGCGATTGTCAAAAAAAAATGGAAGGCGTTTGTTTCTAGAAAATAATTGTCACTCCTTGGGAAGGCAGATGATGTTCACCATTTCGTTTTGTGCACAGAGTTTTGTCAATGTGGTTTGGGATCAGGCGTGTAGCCAGCATAGGACAGTACATCCGTGTGCAGTACTTGTGACCATTCGAACATTCACCAGATATCATTTTACAAGGACACGCACTAATTTCTTGTTTTTGAGACTGGCTAAAAGCACAGGACGCTGTGTACTGTTTTAACATTCTCAAATGAATGGTGTTAGACGTGTTGGTACGCCTAACTCTACCTTGCCAGTAATTCTGATGCGGGTCTTTCTTTTATTCTCCTCAGAAATGGAAGAGGGTCTGGCTTATCCTCTACTCCCAGAGTAACCAGTCTGTCGCTCGCCTCGAGTACTTTGAGTTCAAAGAGGGGTCCAGCTTATCCGAGAAGCAGATCACAAAAAGAATAGACAGAAAAGTCATTCGCATGAGCGACTGTATCAGAATATATGAGGTTGTTCCTGAAAACTGGTCAAAGGATTCAAGCGCCTTTACAGTGGAAACAACCACGAAACTGTACACGTTTTTAACTGAAAAGACGGACTGCAAAGAATGGATCCAGAAACTCTCAGAAACTGCTTTTCAGGTGAGTAAAGTTGAATATGAACCTTACTAAAGTTGCATGGCATGACATCACAGTAGAAAGATGGCCAACATTAGAGGTAAGAAATACTAAAATTATCAATTATGTTTGTACACCTTCTCAGATAATTAAATACCCTCATCACTTTAGTACAATGTAAGGCAGTTCCATAATATGATCCCATTCTGAAGCATAACCACACTTTATGGAAGGCTCATTGTGTTTCTGTGACATTTGGATTTAGGGTGCAATTTTGAAGTCCAGTCTTCAGACCATTCATAAATAAAACTAAAATATAGAAACATACAAAGTAGGAACAGGAGCAGGGCATTCAGCCCTTACAGCCTGCTGTACCATTTAATATGATCATGGCTGATCATCCACCTTAGTCTCCTGTTCCTGCTTTCTTCCCATACCCTTTGATCTCCTCAACCATAAGAACTATATCTAAAAGTTAATGGTAAAGTTGCCAAAGTTTCAGAAGGCTGCTCTCTCATTAGAGAGAGAGAAAAATAACCGGTGATGGTTAACATGTGAGCCTTCATACCTCAGGTGATGGGTGAGGTTGAGAAGGTGGGATCTTCATGATAAACCTCAGCTGGTACAAGAATTGAATCCATACTGTTGGCATCACTTTGCATTGCAAATCAGCCATCCAGCTAACTTAGTGAACCAACACTCCCATGAACTGTATTCAACCTCCTCCATCAAAACATTCAATGTTTTGGTCTTGACTGCTTCCTGTGGCAGAGAATTCCACTGGATCACCTCTGTCTGAGTGAAGAAATTTCTAAAATGTAATGAACCAGATGCATAATCATCATGGGACTGCCACAGGAATTGGATATATCCCACCTATAAAGCTACTGATGACTGTGTCGCTGTTTTTGGGAAAAAAGGATATTGTTATGTCTCACTGGGGTAGTGCACTGGAAATTAAGCCACATTCTTCCTGGAGTCATCACAGAAGTTAAAGATTTTAAAATGTATGCAAGTTCCCCTATTTACCTGGCCTCAAACCCAGGTTGACATAAAGCATGGACCAAGTTTCTATGGTGAAACAGAATTACTATTTTTTACAAATAATTGGATTCTAGCTACAGGTAAATAGATATAAACCATCAGCATATTACACTCGTAATCAAACCTCCAATTCCCTGATAAACTTTCATTATGCATAGCACAAATAGACATAGTAAAATAGGTTATGAACAGAGGGCAAAAACTAGAAAGAAACTTCTGTAGTCTTTGTTTCCAGATTTGGTTGTTGAGATGATCCTTATGACTGTTCTGCTGGATAGCACGCTGTTTCAGTCAGCTTTCTCTCAATGTTTCCACTGGTTGGTAAAGAGCATAAGGAGGACAATTTACTTATGAAAAGTATCTGGCTTATCAGTTTAAAGTCACAATTTGCAATAACTGTTGCAAGAAAGATAAAGCTGGTTTTCTTCAGGATTACAATGAATTTTGATTGCAGACAACAAAGATACCACTCCTGAGCTGAGGAAGAACTAAACTCTCTCTCTCTTTATAACTTGTTCCAGTTCAAAGCTGTTCAATTACGTGAGAATCAATCACATATTTATTGGTGACAAAAAAGGTCTCTGTCATTGATAGCTGGTCATTAATTTATAAACCAGTCAAGTCTTGTTACCAACAAAAGATACATCTGTACACCCCAAAGATTCCAAATCATCTGCAACTCAAACTTCAATTATTACTTCAATTGACCTCTCCCTCTGGCCTTTTACCTGCACTCGACCTATCCATTGAGAACTATTGATGTGACATTGGTCACTTTGATTTCTTTGCCTGCCTCGCCCATTTAAACCTATCTCCCTCTGAACTGACAGTGCTTTCAGATCCAACCCTGACTTTGTCATCAAGCCTTTGGCAAGAGTGGTGCTTTTGTTGTCTGGCATACTAACCATTACATTCCGGAATCTGAGCACCAGCTCTTTAACATCCTATCCGCCCTTAGACCATAACACCATGATCAAACATCAGGCCATTGTGTCCACAAGTGTCTCCAACTTTATCCCATCTGGACATCTCCCCTGACAGCCCCTAAACTCATAGTTCCCTAACCCTGCACAGCCTGCTTCTACCTTCTCCCCAAAATCCACAAATAGGATTGCCTGAGCAGACCCATTGTTTCTGCCCATTGCTATCTCAGAGAACCTATTCCTTCCTACCTCAATTTGATTTTCTTCTCCACTTATCCAGTCCCTCCCCACTTAGATCTGCGATTCTTTTGACACTTCATGTTAAAATATCTAGTTTGCATGTGCCAGCCGCCTCTTCTTTACCATGGACATTCAATCCCTTTACACATCCATCTCCCATCAGGATGGTCTCAGGGCTGTCTGCTTCTTCCTGGAAAGAAGGCCTGAACTGTCCCCATCCACCTCCACCCTCCTCAGCCTGGCTGAGCTCATCCTCACTTTAAGCAACTTCTCCTTGAACTCCTCTCACTTTCTTCAGGTCAAAGAGGTGACTATGGGTACCCGTAAGGGACCCAGTTATTCCTGACTTTTTGTAGGGTACATGGAATATTCCTTGTTCTAGTCCTACTTGGGGCCCAGTCACAACTCTTTGTCCGATATGTCTGTGACATCATTGGTTGCTTCCATCTCTTGACCAGAATTGGAAAAATTTATCAATTTCCCTTCCAATTTCCACCCAGCTCTCACTTTCACCTGATCCAATACTATTGTTGTAATGTTGTTAGGCTCCACAACTTTCACAGTATCTAGTGCCTCCTGCTGTTTTTCAGGGAAACTTAAACATTCCTTGTGCAAGACTATTCGGGACTCACAAGAAAAGTACAGAAGCTTCCTTAAATGGCCTCTTCTTGTCCCTTTCTGATATTCTTTTCCTGTGATATTCACCTGGGGAGGAAACTGCAGTCACTTCCTTGGTCAGAGTTAAAACTGCAGTTGGGACACATCAGAGGCATCAGGCACCAACCTGGGTTTCTAAAGAAGGCTCCTACAAACCTAAATTGGAGCTTTTAATACTTTTGCAATAAGTGGGTAAGTCACAGGGACATTTTAATGCTCGGCTACCCACTGGATGGATTAGATTAAAAGTGAGCCGAAGCTGCCATCGATTTATTTTGACCATTATTCACACTTTCCTCTGAACTGTACCAAGGACATCTATTTGTTACATCTTTTCCATAAGAAGCATGCACCAAAACATAGTGACTTTACTAAATTCATCTCATTAGCACTGCTGCCTCACAGTACCAGGGACCTGGGTTCCATTCCACCCTTGGGTTGTTGTCTGTGTGGAGTTTGCACGTTCTCCCCATGTCTGCATAGGCTTCCTCATGGTGTTCTGGTTTCCTTCCACATTGCAAAGATGTGCAGGTTAAGTGGATTGGCCATGCTAATTACCTATATTGCCCATGGAGTGCAGGCTAGGCAGATTAGCCATGGGAATTCAGGGATAGGGGGTCTGGGTGAGCTGCCCTTTGGAGGGGCAGTGTGGACTTGATGGGCCAAATGGTCTGCTTCTACTCTGTAGGGATTCTATGACTAGTGCTAGTCCATTGTGAAACTTCTTTTTGTGAGTTATAGGCCTGCATCTCTGATCGTGCAACCCCCAGTTTCCAGGCAAAAATCAAGCACAAAGAAGTGCACACAAGTTCATTGGTGCTAAGAACTCTACATACCAGATCAAACTCAGTCTCTGTCCCAGAGGTGTCTTTGGTGTATGTCTGAAGCTAGCTTTAGGCCATTTCCTGTGCAGATTGTAAAAAAATGTTGTGATCAACCAGATGGTCTACTGAGAATTACAAGAATGCTGCTAGGAGTGGAGAATTTTAGCAATGAGAAATGTAATTGGAATAGCTGGGGTTTTGATCTTTGGAGTTTGGAAGCTGAAAAGACTTAATGAAGGAAGCATCAAATTTTATGGGGCCTAGATGGATGCATGTATAAGAAAGACTTATTTCTGTTTGCAGCAAAGTCAATTACCAGGGAGTATACATTTAAGGTGAAGAACTAGAGAGAAGGGGGAATTTTCTTTTTGACACAGATGGTGTTGAGGATCTGGAACTTAGTGGCTAGAAATTTGATAGAGGTAGAAGTCCTCATTACATTTTTAAAACATTTTTGTTAAGTATACTTGAAATGCCACAATCTACAGGGTTGTGGATGAAGAGTTTTAATGTGGCAAAAGTTGATAACATTTTCAGCTATTATGGACACAATAGAACGGATAACCTCCTTTTTCACTATAAAGCTTCTATGTTTCCTATCATGGAATTCAATGTGGAGAGTTTCCATTTGAAAGGGCTCATGATATTATTCAGTTTTCTAGGGATGGTCAGTGATGCCCACATCCCATGAATGAATTTTAAAAAAATTTGGAGAGTGACAGATCATTATGATATTGAAAGGAGTAAAGAACAGAAACCGCTGCTGTAACCAGAAGACAAAAGCAGTAAAACTTCCAAATGGTGCATACTGGTCTGACTTGTTTTGTATATCTCAAAACAGTGCTCCTGTACAACCAATACATCCATTTTCAAGTATTACTTTTTTTACTGGTTTCTCCCTCTGCGTGAGTAAGATCACTAATACACAGTTACAAATATTTCCCGTTTTTGAAGAAATGAAACAGTAAAATACCACCTGATTGGGATCTCCAGTACAAGACTCAGTTTATACCTAATTGTTGCACCATTTCTTTATCATCTTACTTATTATTTTTAATTTCATTTTACTTGCCCTTTCTCTGAAAGACACGAGGGTTAAGCTTCTGAAAGAGATCGATTCCCACAGATCGAGGTCAATGTCTTTCTGTCTGTTCATTTAAAAAGAAAAGAATATGAATGGGAAATAATGGGATAGACGCCTGAAATCTCCCAAAAGTTCTTTGTAAAACCATTGCTCTGCAGCAGGACCATACAAATACAAAACCAGTCCTGGTGATCAATACAAAGCTGTCATTACTCAGTTCAATAGTGACCGAGTGAGACATTGTAGAAGCAGTACGTTCTGTTTATACCCATTTGTGTAGAGTTTTATTGACCTAAAGTAATACAAAGATAAGAATTTTAAAAACGTTATATAGTTAAAGATTTATCTGACTGAGGCGGAAATATCTTCTGTCCAAATGTCTCAATTCAAAAGATAAAAATCGAAGGGTTTGCAAGTGGATAACATGAAATACAATTTTCTATTTTGCTGCACTTGATATAAATAAACATGTAAATTATTTCCTTCTAAATATAATGGCTAATTTTATACTTTCCATTTGTGAAATTTGCTTTCATTCAGCATCCAGGAGAGGATTCTGATACGGTGGCAATGAGAATGAAAGAAAATGAACTTTACTGTTCGCATGAAGGAGGTAAAGCATGAGTTTCTTCTTTTCATAATTATAAATACATTTCATTATGGTTCACAAGTTTGGATATCATTCTGGTTTAATGAAAATCTAGCAAGACTTGCATTTTCCAATTGAAACAAATAGCTTTTCTTGTCTTCCATGCTGTCACTTAATCTCACATTATCAAACACTGAGTATTGATTAGTTAAGTTATAACAAGATAAATTCATTCAGAATTTGTTCAGGGAAAGATGGTAGAGAAAATCAAATTCAATCATCTTTCAGAGTGACAAATTAAGGCCAAGAAAAGAACTTAATTATTTTAACAGTTTATATATTCTTAGGCTTGTATATGGCCAGAGTATTACTCATTGCTTTGTACGGCAAAAGCAGTGGTTTAAGATTAATCCTAGTTTTGTTGACATTAACCTGGAAGAAAAAGGATTGGCTAACATGGATGAAATAACTCCACAGAGGCTGGTATCCCATCACTAAGTCACCCTTTATTTGGATGTGGAGTGTCCTTGACACTGACCCAGCTTCCTCAGAGCCAGCTCTCAGAGTGAACAGGATGTCTGACATTCGTGTTCTTATCTGTCAGTCAGAGCTCCCTGATTGGACCAGATTAACAGCCCCAATCAGGGAACTCATATTCTATGAGGTCCACTTGGATGACCTCGTTACAGTCACTACAATAGATTTATCTGTAATGTTAGGCTGTGATATCACAACCAGACTCTCTTAAGAGTCAACCTCTAATGCTTGGCGGAGATAAAAGCCTCTCAGACATCAACACAGAGCAACAAGGACTCTACTCTTTTAGAACAGGATGATATGACTGATAAACAACCAACTAACAACATGGAGGAAGTGAAGGAAGAAATATCAGTACCCTTTTGGTCAATGGTAATTGCTTGATTACAAAGTAAATGTTTTCTCGTTGTTATCCCTATGAAGTTGGGATAAAGAAGTGTATGCCTTCTTCTACAAAGACGATCTTTAAAATGGGTACACTGACCTAGAAATTTGTTCACAGATACATACATACATTTTGTGGAACCTGTTATTCTAAATTTGTGGCTGATGGCTTAAGTGTAGGTTAGTAAATTCATTCCAATTCCAAACAAAACAGTAAAAGGTGTCTGATTATGGCTTCAGTACATGAATAATTGGTTTTGTTTACTAATAATGCTGTTGCACATCATGTTAAATTCAATCATTATGTTGTTGAATGTTAAATAGAACTTCATTTGAAACTTGCATAGATTTAGTTGTTAGCAGGCTAAATAGTATAATTGTGTAATAATGATTGTTACGAATAAAATATTACTGAATGGATCAAAAAGGAGGGTACTTAATTGATGCTGTAGATTCCCAGGTTTATTTAAATGGGTCAACACTCCATTTGCATAATAGAGAGGGAAATCTTGGGTGAATATATTAAGTAGTTGGACAGTAATGTTCCACAGTCTAATGATATGGTCAAGTTTTTCTTTTGGTAAAACAAATTCAAAACCTGTTGTGAGGACACTATGGCTTTAAGAAGTGTATTTTAGCACATTTTTAATGAAGGAAGGTTGAGACAGACTTGTGTATTGAGGTCAATAAAGTAAACAGTTTGTGAGGTCTTGTTATTTTTCTAAAGCCTGAACAAAAGAAGCAGCATGAATGGGTTGAGTCAAGCTCGCACAGAACCAGGACTTTTAGTTTTACTCTCTCAGTAGCAGTTGCTGCTTGGGACTTGAAACGGGATGTGGAAGCCATTTTGCCTATCTATGTTACAGCTAAAAGCTGGGGTTCTCTTCCTGCTGCTAGAATTGCACGTGAGACGATCTGTTTTACTGAATTTGCTTTGCAACAGTGTGTTTACAGATGATATTGTATTGGTGCAGTTAAGTGGTAGTAGTTAATATAATTTTGTTAAGGGTTTTGATAGAGTTACAGTTAAGCCAATTCTTTTATTTTTATTTTGTCTGTATTTTAATTACAGTATCTGAGTAAAGTGTGTTTTGTTTCAAGCCTGGTAGTTTGACCAGTTGAATTACATCCTAAACACAACACCTTACACACCTTCTAAGTAAGAAAATGTTAATATATTTTGAGGGGCTTTGGTCTGGTTCATAACACTGTCTACATTGTGATAAAGAATATGAATAATTTCTTGATCGTACAGAACTTAAACATTGCTAAAAGGAAAGAAGGATTTGAAACTTTTAGGCTTACAGTCAACAAACTATGCAAGAAACAGAGTTGAATAAAGGGATACCATTTTATACAGCATGGAGGTGCAATGAGAACAGTTACCTGTCAATCTCAATTCTTAGACCAGACAAGTAGATTCTAATTGTCAGGGTACTGCTATGGACAGATTGAGGTCTCTGTGGCCTCTTTTTGAAATAAAAGTGCATTGGACACACAAATTACTTTTGTCTACGTAAAACATTGTTCTTGCTGTGACTCTCATCACTGGACGGCACGTAGGGGTTTTGGCAACAGAATTTCCACTGTGCGTTCAGCTTCAGTGAGTGGGGACTAGAATAGTCTGTAAATGAGATGCGCACACACGTCTCTTATGCTTCAAAAGATAACTCTTATTTATTGAACAGAACTCAGCTTCACACTTTTCAGATATTTCAGTTAATCACATTCCATAAAACTCACACACCACTGATAACAAGCTCCCCAGGTGTATGCAACTAATTCAAAAGCAACTAACTCTAATTAATATATTTGATATACTAATATATTTAATCATTTGTTCCCTTACTCCAGTCAGTCTCAGACATACCTTTAGACCATATTAAATGATAACAGATTCTCCTTTTTCTTTATATATAAATCAAACTATAACAATAAAAAAATCACAAACAAAACATACAAAATGACAACAAATTATATTCCTACTTTTTAAATTTTTACTTTAAAATTCCAACCATCCTTGCGCCAATATGTCCAGCAGTTTCCTAGAACTTGCCGTTTTCATTGTAAAACAATCAAATTGCTGACAGTAGCTATCCAACAATTTCAGTTTGGAGGTCTTGCCATTCTCCACCATCTGTTTTAAACTGCTCTATCGATTTTCAGTCTCTTTTCATTTACACATTTCATTCAGCATACGTTACCACATAGTGACTTATTGTTGTTGCATTCATTTTTAGAATTTCTTCCAATAGTTTTGCTAAAAATTGCCTCACCAAGGGCATGAGTCTCCATTGTTAATGTCCTTTTTTAACTACTCTTCAAGCTAAAAGGCAACATTTATTTCTCTTTCGCAGAAGAAATGTTGTAGACCCTCCTACACCTGAGAATCCATCACAGAGATTTGCATGAGAAATATGAATAAAAATCAGAAGTTTCATGTTCTTGGCACCTCCCAATGACAAAAATTTCAAAACACAGTTTTCCATTTTTAATTTTGTTGATGTTTTGATTGTCTGAATAATTCCTTCTGCCATGAGATTTTTCCATAGTTTTACTCAACTCTCACACTTCAAAAACTGGCCTTCTGACCTTGTTTGGGTACCCAGCCAATTCAGCTGTGCAGTGAGACTTCACAATATCTTCATTTCAGTTTTGGAAGCTACTGCATTTATGTGTGAAGCCTTACTTTAACAAATAGCAAATGGGGCAAACATTTTCCAAAAAAGATTGCTGATGCAAAGTAATATTTGATCCATTCTGCCTGATTTCCAGTCCAATGTACTTAAAAGCTACACTTTCCATTTTGAATCAAAATCAGAAATTGCTGGAGAAACTCAGAAGGTGTGGCAGCATCTGTGGAGAGAGAGCAGAGGTAGTGTTTCAAGTTCAGTAACCCTTCTTCAGAAGGACTGCGGTTCTTTGTTTTATTTTCCCATTCTGAATTCTGCTGTAAGATCATTTATGAGAATGTTTACAAATTCATTGTTCCCACCCTACACATCTTATAAATACACCTGAAAGCCACCTTTTATGATGGTAGTAAAACATGGTAAGGTCTGTTTTTAACTAAAGATAATCCAATTTTAATAAGTCAAAAGTTACTGAGAAGTACCAAACTCTACAGGCATCACTTAGGCTATACACACTTCGGCTACACAACTTGCAAGTGTCCCCACTGCACTTGGGGCCTCTTTTGGAGGATGAAGAAAAGCAGTTTTAATATCATTTCAAACATTTGTTGCTACCAAAGCTGAAGAAAGGTCAAAATTGTTTTCCTGCAGTTGATATATCGACCCTTAAATCTTAATCCCCCACTGTTTTTTGAAACCTCTTGTTTGTTCATGGCCACTAATACTTCCCAATTACATGGGCCTTTGATCCTGGTGGCATTCTTGGTTTAAACTATGTTTCTTGTCTGTTGTTAAATAAGGTCCCTTATCTTGCCTTCTATCTCTTTGTGGACTGTTTTTACTTGACCTCCCTCTCCTATTAATAGCACGCGTGTTTGTGCGTACATGTGTATGTGTGGAGTTATATACCAACAATTCATAATTGTTTACTTGTGACTAGCGTCTAATTACTTGTAAAATATTGTCATTTTTGTTAAGTACAGTAACCTAGTCCATGCTTTCTGTTAACCTGGGTCTAAAAGACAGATAAATTTGGGAATTCCACATACTTTTTAAAATCTTTAATTTTTATGATGACTCAGGAATAGCAGGGCTTTATTTCTAGCACATTATCTCAGTGAGAGATAAAATGTTTCATAGTACTGTCTTCAATCTTTCTAAATTTGTTAAAATCTGACAACGACACACAAACAGTCAGTACATCACCTTTTTGATAAATTTTATTCATGAAAGTTAACAATCGCTCCAAACTTTCAAATCATCAGACCCCAATTCTGAAAAAGTTTGCTTCTTACTCTGCTTCTGAACAGTAATGAAAGTGTTTAGACTAAAGCTCACTTCCTTTCTGGTAAAGAAGTAACCCAGGTCCATGTTGTAACTTCATTCTTATGCTAGTCAGACAGCTCAGAAGACAGAGATGGGTAATTGTACCCCGAAACTTTATATTTTGACTCAACTATTTTCTGCTAC